CTGTCTCATGCCCACATCCTTGTTGAGGAGTGACTATAGCAGAGGGGTGTCCTGTCTCCAGAGAAGAAACTCAGGAGTGAGCAAAGGCCCACGCCAGGCCCTGGTCTGCAGATAGAGAGGCATATCTGAGCATCATTGAGGTATCACGAAAACTAGCAGGCCGGTAGACATGGGGAACATGAAGAAGGGGGGCTCTTTCATGTGGACAGAGGGTCTTGGTTGTCTTCAAGCTTGCAAGACCTACATAAGCAAAGATGGCAGCATGTGAGCCCCATGGCCCAGCAGACTTGCCCTGCTGTGTGTATGCAGCCCCCAAGGCACCTTCCTGGGGCTACTGAGTTTCTGGTCATCCATCCATCCATCTGTCTGTCCATCCATCCGCCCAGCCGTCCACCCATACATCCACCCAAGATGGTGGCTGTTTTCACCAAATGGGACACAGCCCTGACAATAAGCCTGGGGTCCAGTCTATCTTTCCAACCTACACATGGCTTCTCACCCTACCCAGGCAATTAGCATGCCTGCCACACCCTTGGTACCACTCCTCAGGTTACTATTGCCACCCTAGGTTCCCTGAAGAGACAGCCAGCCAGTTACCAAGAGTGGTCAGGAGAGAGTTTTCACAGTGACATGAGTGTTTTACTCCTTCCTTTTCAATGCCAGGAGGACCAGTTGGGGGAAGGCTGCCAAAAGGGCAGTTGGAGGTACTAACACCATTTTTCACATTAACACCTGTCAAAACCCCATCTATCTGGTGGCTCTGAGAGGCAGCCTGGCTCCTTCCCCACCTATCCCGAATCACTGGTAACAGAGAAGGAATCCCACTCTTTCCAGACCCAAAAGACTGTCCCTAACACATGGCCTAGAGGGACTATGGCCCAGAAACCAATGAATATGGTCAGGCCTTGGAGCCTAGGGATCAGTCCCCCTGGGTCCTTACCTGGCTGTGGTGCAAATTCACTGGGCGATCCTGGCAAGTCACTTCTAGGCCTTAGTTCAGTTATTTCAGCACTGGCTCTAGGGATAGGCAGCAAAGACCCAGGAGCAGTCATGCAGCTCCCCAGAGCTCCCCTGAGCCAGCACAGCCTCTGAGGTGCTATAGTAGAGAAACCAAAGCACATTTTCTAGAAGGAAGGCAGCAGGAGCCTCTGGGATGAGTGAGTGAGTCTCTGCTCAGGGGAAGCAATGCGTGTTAGTCCCTTTCCCATTCTACCCAAGCCAACTGCAAGCCAGGGTCAAGCTGTCTGTGTCCCACCTGCTTTAATGTCCTCTTCTCCTGCCGCCCTTTCCAAGCACATACAAGCCTTCATTGTTTTTTATTTCGTTCTCCACCTATTAGCTTGTCATGGAGACATTATTTCCTGATTATATGTGAAATTAGACCACACTTGCTTAAATTATTATGTCCACTTTCAGTTCATGTCCCTGTATCCTGGACAGTTGGGAGGAATTTGGAACACTGTGATTATATGTAACCCTCCCACCTATATGGACTTTAATAATGCATGCAGAAATATGTACATATTTTAAATATACACAACATACATAATGCAGGCCATTTTAGAATGCCATCATTATTGTTTCATTGCCCTGAAGCAGCAGGTCATTCTTCAGTGACAGGATCCTGAGAGAAAAGACCAGGGGATCAGACAATAAAGAGGATAGGAAAGTGGGCTCAGGAGGTCTTGCACGAGCTGTGTCTCACTCCAAGCAAGTTTACCACGGAGGACAAGGTATTATTTATTATTTTAAATTAACAGATGCCCTTCTCTGTGTGCTGAAAGAGGCTTACTCTCCCTCCCCCTTGCTCCTGGGAGACCCGGGAGATTCACCATTACCCATGACTCCCTTAAGCGGCCCCGGCCAGTTGAAAGGAACCTCATGATCTAGGAGCAGTCTGCCCAGTGATCCTCTGCCCCCAGAGGGGAGAGGAAGGTTGTCAATATTCTATGGTCTCCGGGGTTCGAATAGTAGAGGCTGGGAGCACCAAGACCCAGGAAACACCACTGCTAAGAGGACCAGTTTCACAACTCTGACTGTGGGTTCCACTTCTGCAATGCAAAGTGACACTTTCATTTCTTTCCTCTAGGGAAAAGGGAAGAGCGATAGAAAGGACGCATGCTCTGACACAGGGTGTTCCTGAACTGCAGGACAGCCCGCCCGGGCCTTGCCCCAGCCCAGCTCCTTCCCTGCAGAGACAGCACACAGCTGCAGAGATATGCCCCGGCAGTAAGGTAGGTGGGACCCCCAGGGAGGCCTGGCAGGGCTAAGAGGAGGACTCCTGGCCAGAGCCAGCATCTTTCTGTTTGTTAGCCATGGTGGGCATTAAGAGGTCTGGGTTTCTGTTCTCCCAAATCCACCTGGATCCAAAACAAACAGGTTAGCCTCGGCAGACGTGCTGCTGTGGCAGAGAGTGGGATTCTGCCAGCTTTGACTGTTCCATAGCACGCGCACATGCGCGCGCAAGAACTGTTCTTTGAGGTCAGAAGGCAGTGGCTGGAAGTGTGTCTGTCTGCCTGCAAGGAAATGAGTATCCTCAAGGCCTAGGCCCCACTGTCAGCTAGGTCTCCACTGACATACTACATTCAAAAAGCAACAGGGCAAAAGGGTAGCAATCTAGCAAGGCTCCCTATCCCACAGACTTTAAGTTCCCTTTTATAGTTGATTGAGTATCACCCATTATATGTGATGTCTCCTTACCTGTTTCCCGGCAGATGTGCCCACCCCCCAACACTTGCTGTGGACAAGTGTAAAGTGCTATCTGGACTACACGAGAGGTCACACTCTGCCACTGGGAGACCTTAGGGGGACAAGAGAGGAGCTTGAGAAAGACAAGAGCCTGCAGAACTCTGGAGGTGGAAATGAAAATGTAGGGGTTGGCCAAGTACCCTGTGACTGAGGTTAGAGGACACAGACAAAGCCACCTTCCCCGGAGAAGAAAGCATTTGAACTGAGCAATGTTTTCACACACAATCTAGGATGCAACAAATGTGACATGAAAAACAAAAACACAGAGACTGATTTTGGGGTTCAAGCTTCAAGCTGAAGACCAGAGAAACAAAGCAGCCAAAGCCAGTAGACCTCACCTCTCCCCAGCTGAAATGGCAATCCTGTCTACACAAATCCTCAGAGGCTAAAGCTCTCAGTTCCTGTCTCCTCCTGCCCTTTATTCCTTTCTCCACCCAGACATAACCCTCCTGTATCCACCTCCTTAGTGCTGGAATTAAAGGTGTGTGATCCCAGGGGTTGAGATCACCTTGTGTGAGCTGTTTCGTTTTAGGACTGGATCAATTTCATGGAGTCAGTGTGGCCTTGAACTAACAAGAGATCCGTCTACCTCTTAATCCTGAGTCCTGGGATTAAAGGTGTGTACCACCATCACCTAACTTCTATAGCTAACTAGTGTGGCTGGCTTTGCATCCTGAACCCTCAGGTAAGCTTTATTAAACCATAAATAATATATCACCACAAATGAACATTCCTAGCAGAAAACTACTATTGAGCCCCACTCAGCCCTTGGTTCCTGCTGAAATTAGTGGCAAATCCTGGGTCGTGTGGGTTTGTGGCTGAGACAGAGTCTTCTTCAAAGCCAGGCAGACCACAGTAGGCCTTCCTATCTGTGCCTGTCAGATACTGCAGGAGTCCCATGTGTGCCTATCATCTGATACCGAGGGATGAGTTCCTGGAGGTGGCGCTGAGGGACCTTATGCGTATTTCCCGGAGCCCCCAGGGTTCTGCAGTGAACCAGCTTTTCCCCCTGATGCCCACTGTCCCCACCAGGATCTGCCTTCTGCTCAGATGTTCAGGAGAACTGGTGCCTGGCCCATGGAAGCACCGAGAAAGTGCTTGCTACGGGCAGGACTCTTTTATGTTGCTCTATACCTCCACTTCTGGAAGCACCCTATTCCCCCCCAAAGAGGTTTGCCCCCAAGAGTGAAGGCCTGTCTCCTTCTGCTTCACCACAGCACCCAGATTGATGCCTGGCTCAAAGGAGGGCTCTGCGAGACTTTGTTCGTGCCTGCCGAATACAAGGAAGCCTCTCGCTCACATCTGTGTTCCTGTTCCTACAAAGCAGAGACAGACTGGCTCCAAATGGCCTGCAGACTATCAGGCTCTGCCTAGTAAACTGGTAAGACTTATCCCCTGCCTAGAAGAATAGGCACACCTTTATTACCTAATAGTACAACTCAGAATGGGCAATGTGTCCTGTGCCACAGTGTGCAGAGATGGAGTTTCAACACGAATGTCAACCTCTGCTGTAGCACAAATAATAAAAACCCAGAGACAGATATTGGGGTTCAAACTAAAGATCAGAAAAGCAAAGCAACCAGCCACTAGCTCTTACCTCTTCCTCAGACCAAATGGGGGAGGGTGGCCACTGATTGCATTTCCAAACTGCCTCTACAACTCAGAATGGGCAATGTGTCCTGTGCCACAGTGTGCAGAGATGGAGTTTCAACACGAATGTCAACCTCTGCTGTAGCACAAATAATAAAAACCCAGAGACAGATATTGGGGTTCAAACTAAAGATCAGAAAAGCAAAGCAACCAAGCCATTAGTGAGTTCCTACCTCTACCAAGGCTCAGACCAAAGTGGGGTGATTCTGTCCTGAGAGTGACTGCAGACTGCGCTGCTCTCTACCAAACATTCCTCTTTAGTGCTGGGATTAAAGGCATGTCAACTTAAGTGTTAGTATCAAAGGTGTGGCTACCACTGCGTGTCCTCTATGGCTAACCAGTGGCTTAGGTGTGTGGCTGACTAGTGGCTTGGCTCTCCACTCTAATCTTCAGACAAGCTTTATTAGATCATAAACAAAATATCACCACGCTCCACTCCATCCTGGCTTGGGCAGAATGACTGTATCCATTTAGCATGGTTGTCATTGGCAAGATGTGGCCCCAGGATTGCCAAAGTGAGCAGTTTATCTGGGCTCAGAAAACCACAGAGGTGTATGTGTGTGTTTGTGTGTCTTTGTCACATTTTCCCCAGAATCTCATCCATGGAGAGTACCCTCACAGTCCTGCAAGTGAGCCTGTACCACCCCACGCTGGGCCTGGTTGCCTTTGCCAAAGTCCCGCCACAGCTGCGTCATGATACCAGTCGGCTGCTGCTGGGGCGAGGGCAGGATGCCCACGTCCAGCTGCAACTGCCTCAGCTGTCCCGACACCACCTATCCTTGGAGCCCTACCTGGAGAAAGGCAGTGCTCTGCTGGCCTTCTGCCTCAAGGTGCTGTCCCGCAAGAGCTGTGTGTGGGTCAATGGGCTTCCACTGAGGTACCTGGAGCAGGTCCCCCTTAGCATTGTCAACAGAATCTCCTTCTCTGGCATCCAGATGGTAGTCCGCAGAGAGGGGGGAGCCTCCCTTGAGGCCTTCGTCTGCTACTTCCATTTCAGCTCCTCACCCCTGATTTACAGACCCAAGGCCCAAGAGACTGACGAATGGGAAAACATTGTTAAGAAAGAGACTTCTCCTGTTTTGGGGGAGGCAACTCATGATCTCTTGGGGTCTCCCCAGGGCTCCTCCCAGACTCAGACAGCTGGTTCCAGCCAAGCCCTGGAGGAGCAAGAGAAATAAAACTCCAGAGGGAGCCCCCAGACACTACACCCTGCTGACCCTGCTGGCTGAGAGCAAGCCTTGCTAAAACAGGGTTTGAAATATTTGCGCTACAGCATTCGAGGTTGAACACAAAGTTGACATGCAAGGCCTGGGGCCACCGCACTCCCAGGGAACTGATTCTGTGAACTCTGAGCAGCCCAGGGGTGGAGGAGCGCCCTCCATGGCTCTGGGTAATGGGAACTTCATATACTTTCAGAGGCCCTGAGGGGTTCTGGGGAGCCTCTCCCAGCATCCCTCAGCCCCCGTTTCCTCCCTTGTCGGGCTGGGAGTTACTTTATGTTGCTCATTTCACTTGTTCTTTAAGAGCAGACGCATAGGGCTGCAGCAGGAATGCAAGGACACATGGAGAAGTGACATTTGTGGTAGCTAGGGGTTACCTTCAGCTTTCAAATACCCACAGGCACCCGGGGCTTAGGAAAGCCTGTGTTTAATAAACGGAAAGTATTTCATTAAGCTGGCATACCCAGTAGGATTCCCTGCATCCCAGATGGACCACATGTACGTGGAGCTGGGGGCGGGAACCCTGGAGGAGGTGTGAGAGGAAATTGGGAAGGTAGGAACATTACTGGGAAGGTTGCAAGCTGAGCTCAAGCCTTCCAGCGGGGGAGTTAGCAGCTAGGACGGCTGGGCTGTTTCTTCTCCTCCTTCTCCTCCCCTTCTCCTCCCCTCCCTCTTCTTCCTTCTCCTTTTCTCCCATTCTTGTCACTTCTGGACCAAGGCCTTGCTGACCAGAGGGCAAAGGTCTTCAGGGAAAGACGGGTTTCACGGAGAAGACTACCCCCTTTCAGAACTAATTCCATGGTTGGAGGGCAAGGTTGTGTCAGAAGTCAACCCAAGTTATCCTACTTAGCGTAAGCCTGCCAGGGTTTATCTTCCCTGTGGGTATGGGGGTAGGAGCCAGGCAGGCAAGGATGGAGAATTTTCTCAGTGAGAAGGGAGCATAGGGCTAGCAGTTGCCTGCCATTTAGAGATATTGTTTACCCATGTGAGGGCAGGAGAGTCCTACAACCTCAGGTAGCCACCGTAAGCCCAAAGCCTGCTTTAGGCACCCAAAACACCAAAGGCACAGTGCTGCCCACAACCTGGCTCATAACCCCAGCATCTGGGACACCTCTGTCATGAACCATTCATTCCCTACCCAAGGTAGACTATAGAAGGCTCAGCGCTGCTCCCCAGCTCCAAGCATCTTCCCCATAGGGAAAATAACACTGGATAAGACCTGGTCACATCTATGCTGGAGAAGTCCTCCTCCAACAGAGTATGAGTTGAGTAACCACAGATCACAGACACAAGATGGAGGAGAACATGGCCTACCTGGGAGGATGCTGGCAATGCTGTGAATGGCCCCCAGGACTCCCAAAGCAGTTCCTCCCCCATCTCGATGAACTTGAACCAAACACCACCTCATGTCAAATGTATATCAAGTCTCAGGATCCAAGAATAAACAAAGCCAATAAAATCTGTCTTCCTGCGGCTTGCCAGGCCTCAGGAGAGAGAAGCATTCCAGGAACAAATGACTTAATTATTTTATCACAGCTGTTGGGATTGTGTCTTCTCTCTGGTTGGGTTTGTGACTTGCCCTATGGTTCGGTGGATTTGAAGTTAATTCTGTACGTTCATCCCTCTGCTAAGCAAGTGGAATAAACCCTTGAACACCCAGCCAGCTGTCAGTGCCATCCATTCCTCAAAGTTCCCCAGAAAGATACTGATCTCAAGCCCAGCTCACAGACACAGGAGGTGAGATTCAGAAGGTTATCTATCTAGCCAGGGCCCTGTCATTTGTTAGCTGGGTGACCTTGGACAAGTGACTTAGCCTGTCTTGCCCTCTATTTCTCCCTCTGGAAAGCAAGATAAGCATACCTACTGGCCAGATCAGGTGAGAGGATTTTAGGAGGCACCGTGCCATGCCTGGCACACAGAAGGCACTCAACAAAGGCCAGCCATCCTGAGACCAAAGACAGGAAAGCTAAAAATCTGAAGGCTTATCACAAACGTGGGACTTGGGGCGACTTGAGCCCCGGTGATCTGGCTGCAGAGCTCTGGGGCCTCCAGGGCGCTGTGACTAAGGGTTTTGTTTCAGCTCAGTGCCTGGAAGGAGGAAAAGGCTTTAAGCTGCTTTTGTATGAAAAGATCTAGGTTTATAGAACAAGAGACACTGTTGGCCCTGGAGAAGGAAAACTGCCTGCAGGTCAGGCTGATGCCGTCCACTGCTCAGGATTGCTTTGAAGCCCCCATAATTCTAAGGGAGGCACAGGTCCCTGGACGATTCTTGGCTGTCCAGTCTGTGTGTTACGGAGCAGCTGTCCACAGACAGAGCTTGAGAAGCCACACCCAGAGACAGTGCAAGGCCACCCAAGGCTGAAGGCACCAGGGTCTCCAGATGCAGCTCCTTGTACCTCTGAAGAAGTTTTAGAATGGGCTACAGCTGCTGGTGCCTGACTCCATCCTCTCCCCTGCAGGAAGGCGCGACCCCGCCCCTGCTAGGGGTCCATGAGATAGAGTAGCACACTTCCTCCATGGGGGACTGTGTGGTTGGTGTATTTTGGGTGAAGTGTCTGTGAGGTCCTCACACTGAAAAGTAGACTAGAAGATGACAGGCCAGACACAGGAAGGGGAAGAGCCAGGAAACATCTGGCTTGTTTCACAGTCTCCTCGGGAACGTTTCTTCCTCCTCCTCTTTCTCTTCTTTTTTTGTTTTAATTTTGATTATTATACTTATTTTGTTTTTAGACAGAGTCTCACTGTGAGTCTCAGAGTAGCCCTGCACTCACTATCTATCCCACATCTGCCTCCCAAGTGCTTCAGTCACAAGTGGACACCAAACACACCTGGCTGGTGCCAAGCATTCAAGACAGCAAACTCTGCCAGATTCCACTTCTCTCTGAAAACATAAACTCAAATCATCAGATTCAAGGCCCCGTACCTCTCTCCTATCACTTGAAGTCTGTAGGTTGACTTCAAACCCCTGGCTTGTGGATTTGACATCACCATCACTTCTCTTGTTTACACAGGGTCCTTTCTAATCATCTCTTATCAATGTTCGATGGTCCTCTCTCCCAGCAAGGCAGCCCGTGTGGCCACGGGGCTGAGCTCGTGGAGGCATACAGACACACGAACACCCATATGCTCAAAACACAGGTAGTTTCAAGCTGTCTGGGCCACAATTCATGCTGCTCTCTTACTGTCCTATCGTATTTGGACCTGTAACTCCTATATTAGAGTCACTGTAGAAGTAAAATGAGGCACTGCTTATAAATTTGTCTGTGGCACACAGTAGGTGTTCAGGAGGGTCAGTTAGCATTGGCCTATTCAGTGGAACAAGTTGAGCATATGTGGTCCCATGGGCTCAGTCACACACACCTGCCATGCGTAGATAAATCTCTTATGATCTGGTGGAGCTCAGAACACGGCAGTTCCGGAAGCAATGTCTGGAAATTCCAGTCATTCCCTGCCCTGCTTGTTGAGGCCATTTAATCCTCAGGGGTCTGTGCTTCACTGCCGTGGTGAGTCTTCCCAAGCTGACTCTGTATTCGCTCGAGGCCATTGGATGCTGCACTCCCAGTGTCGGGATTGGGCCATGTTAGATGTTAGATGCTAAAGGTCTGAGGTAAACCTCACAAAGCACACACCAGCGATTGGAGGCCCACGGTGGAAGAAGCTAAGCAACCAGTGAGGTCAAGAAGACCAGAGAGTCTGGGAGGACCAGACATGGTTGTCAGTTCCTTTCCTGCCTCAGTGAACAGAACATGGGAGTGTTTCCTTTCTCTTCCTCCTCTAGCCTTTGTACCCCAACTCAAGTGGAACCTGGATTTTGGGATTTTTGGATAGTGACTGGTGACCATCATGGTGAAGGAGAGACAGCTCCCTCTCACCAGCACTTCCGGCTTCCAATAGAGGGGCCAGGGGCCAGGCTCCTCCAGGAGACCCCAGAAGAGCTCTGAGCAATGGAGCCAGAAGTCAGCTGACTAGACTGAGTCCAGGCCAGTTACCCACCGAATCTCCTCCTCTCCCTGCCCCCCTCCCAGGCACAAACCAGCAATACCCACCTTGTTGTGCCTGTCTGCCATCTACACACACAGTACTGCTTGATGCCACAGGGCACCAGAAGACAACCCTGCTAGAGGCCTGGACAGGACAGTTCTTAACCTGAAAGAATAATTGTTGGCAGACAAAAGAACAGCAGTCAATTCTGCCAGCAGAGCACCAAGGGAGCACCAGCAAGGCATCCAGAGAGCATCAATGGAGCACCAGCAAGGCATCCAGAGAGCATCAATGGAGCACCAGCAGGGCATCGAGGGAGCGGCCACTCCACAAACATGTAAAGAAAGCCTTAGTTGAGGGGTCCAGATTCAGGCCTCCCAGTGACTGACTGGTAGAGCTGAGGACATGGACAGAGAATCATCTCTATAACGACCCTGCATCACCAGGCTATCATCAGCTGTGAAGTGTTGGAAGCAAGCACACCTCACTGACTCCAGAAGGTTCCCCACTAGGTCTGCTGTCCAGAAACCAGAGAGAGCTGGGACACCTGCCTCCTACTCCATCCATTGGCGTCTGGGTCACAATCACCCTCTGCTGCCCCAGCCTATCCATCTAGCTAAGACCTGGGGGAGGACTTGAGCCCGAGGAGATGCTGATTTTAATGAACTAGGTTCACGTTGCAAGGCTCTGATTCCTCTTACCTTTAACGTGAACTCACAGGCGGATTAAAGTGAAATAAAACCTACTATTTGAGTTACATTTTCAGCTTATTGGAAACATGCATTACCTCCTTGTGCCTGGGCTGTGAGAAGGAAAGTTATTATCTTCCTTTAGAGTTTGTAAACGCTTTATGGCTGAGGCAGTAATCCTGCGGCTGGGGGTGGGGTGGGGGGCGATGGAAGAGAACATAGTTTCCACTTTTGTTTTCCAATCGAATGTTCCAGTGGGAAGGAACCAACCCAAGTGAGTAGCAGAGA